CAGTGGACAGTGAGGACGCAAAGATCATTGCCAAAGGGGCAGCAATCTCTTCCCTCAGTAACCTTGGGTATATCCCGTCTGGCCCAAGGGACTTATCTATCCTCATGTTTTTCACGATTTCTAGCATATCCTCCTTCCTAACAACAACCTGTTCGAGCATATCTGCCTGTTTCATGCTGTCCTCACAAACATCAAGGTCCCTCTCACTGGTGAATACTGAAGCAAAGTATTCATTAAGGACTTCCCCTACCTCCTCTGGCTCCACATACAACTTCCCTCCGCTATCCCTGATTGGCCCTACCCTCACTCTGGCCATCCTCTTGTTCCTCACATAAACTTAGAATGCCTTAGGGTTTTCCTTGATCCTACCCGCCAAGGTTTTCTCATACCCCCTTCTAGCTCTCCTAAGTCCATTCTTCAGTTCCTTCCTGGCTACCTTGTAGACCTCTAGAGCCCTGTCCGATCCTTGCTTCCTCAACCTTAAGTAAACTTCCTTCTTCCTCTTGACTAGGTGTTCCACATGTCTTGTCATCCAAGGTTCCTTCACCTGACCATCCTTTCCTTGCCTCAGTGGGACAAACCTATCCAGTACCTGTGGCTAATGCTCCCTAAACAACCTCCACATTTCTATCGTGCATTTCCCTGAAAACATCTGATCCCAATTGGTGCTCTGTAGTTCTTGCCTATTAGCATTGTAATTCCCCCTCCCACAATTAAATACTTTCCCATACCGTCTGCTTCTATCCCTCTCCATGACTATAGTCAAAGTCAGGGAGTTGCGATCACTATCACCAAAATGCTCTCCCACCAAGAGGTCGGACACCTGACCTGGTACGTTGCCAAGCACCAAATCCAATATGGCCTCCCCTCTAGTCAGCCTATCTACATATTGAGTCGGAAATCCGTCCTGGACACACCTGACAAAATCTGCTCCATCCAAACTATTTGCACTTGAGGTTCCAGTCTATATTAGGGAAGTTGAAGTCACCCATGACAACAACCCTATTACTTCTGCACGTTTCCAAAATCTGTCTCCCAATCTGTTCCTCAGTGTCTCTGTTGCCACTGGGGGGTCTATAGAAAACTCCCAATAAAGTGACTGCTCTTTTCCTGTTTCTGACCTCCACTCATACTGACTCAGTGAAGAAACTCTCCTCCACGACCTCCCTTTCTGCAGCTGTGATACCATCCCTGATTAGCAATGCCACTCCCCAACCTCTTTTACCTCCCTCCCTATTTCTTTTGAAACATCCATACCCCGGAACATCCAACAACCATTCCTGTCCCTGTGTTATCCAAGTCTCCGTAATGGCCACAACATCGTAGTTCCAAGTACTGATCCATGCTCTAAGTTTGTCACCCTTTAATAATCATTTAATAATACTCATTCAAATCCTCTCAGATCCACAAAACATTTCTGCAGATGAACACACACATCTCTTGACGTTTCAACTTCCAGGATGAATAACCATGAAAACCCTTCCAAACTGTTAAGTTCACATGCCAGCAAACTTGCATTTTCCTATTTATGCTAAATCATACACAGCAATCAAGTATTTCACTTGGTACAACCAAATCAACAAGGGCCTTTCAGGGACAGACCAGGGTGTGGACTAATTGGAGATCCCTTTCATAGACGCAGCACAATCACCCTGAACTAAGTGGCCACTTTTGTGCTATATGATTCCACATGAAAGAAAGTAACACATCAATCTTGACAATAGCGTTTAAAAAAAGCATCTCCCCAGCTTCCTGTGCCAACACATTAGTTTTAAAATTATCTGTCAGAGATTGTTCCAGAACGCCAACAAATTATATATTATAAACTATATATGTACATTACATGCTTCTGGAATAATTCCTAACGATACACAATTCTCCATACAAAGATCAGGAATAAAGACGTCCATATAGCATGTCTTTCACAATCTCAGTATGTCAAAAGACACTTTAAGGCTAATTATATATTTTTCAAGTGCAGTTGTTCTTGTGTAGGAAATGCAGCAACCGATTTGCCCACAGCAAGATCCCACAAACAAAATAATAACCATATAACTTGTTTAGGAGTTGGTGAAGGCATAAACGCTGACCTTCACACAGGAGGAACTCTCCACTTCTTCAAATAGTGCAATAGGAATTTCTAGGCCTACGTAAGAGCACAGAGTTCAATCCAAATGATGGCATCACAAACAGTAGAACACTGAACGCCGGTCTAGGTTACATGCTCAAATGTCTGGTGTGCAATTTCAACAAAAGAGCATTAAATTTAGACACGGATGTGACTTCTAAGTCAGGATTGATGCTTGTAATTTAGACAGCCTGAGTAACTTTGACAGCACAGAACAACCAGAGTAAAGAGGGCACCAAGAACTTAGGTAACTAACAAGTGGACAATTTTTGCTGTGCTTGCTCAGATTGCCCAGTGTACTATCTAAACAGGCAAACACTTGAGAAATAGGAGAAGAAATTACAAAGTTAATCAAAAAGGTGTACGGATCTATACATAAATGTGGCTTTCTTGGAAAAGTGAGAAATAAAATCAGGAAATCTGCTAATTGGCACAATCTGTTTTACAATTTATAATGGAAACAGCAAAGTGATGAAGCTGATTTTGTAATCCAGTAATATCGTCAAGCAGCTTAATTCAAAGACCTATGATTAGGTCCCGACCTGAAACGTCAACTTTCCTGCTCCTCTGATGCTGCCTGGCCTGCTGTGTTCCTCCTGCTCCACACTGTGTTATGAATGGTTGGAAAGGTTGTTCAAATTTCAATCGCCCCTGTTCAATTAGCAATAGCTAACTGAACCTTTTGTTTCAACCAGACAATCTAAATTCTCATCTGGTTTAGTCATCATCTTGTCATAAATACTGTTTCATCGTGAAATAACGTACACTGAAGGACAATTGCTGCACATTCATTTTTGCAACGCCAATACTGAGTTAAGTGTATTGTGTTCACAAAAAAGAACCACATCTTAAAAGTCTTGCGGTAGAATGACTGCATGCTTGGAGGGTGATCAAACAATCCTAATCATGCAATGCAAATAGCAAACCAAACCTTACTTATTAACAATTTTCATTTGACTTATTATGATAGCTTGCAGACAGACAAAACGCTGCAAATCTATTCACTGACTGCAACTACGAATGCTATTTGGCCTCAATTCTCAATGGTGCAATGATAATCACCTATTACTAAATGGACAAGTAAAACAATCACGCATGCACTACCTAAATTTCATGCAGTCATGTTACTTACACAGTCTATTAAGTGCTTGAGAGGTGAAGGTTGTATGAGCTTGAAATGAATCATTGATCAAGATGTGTTTTATATCGACAAGTAACCAGTAAAGGCTCACAAGCATATCTCAACTCTTTCAAGGCACATATTGCTGTAAGCAAACATATCGCCATTGGGTGACTGCCCATTGTGCAATGTTGCCTCTACAGACCAGAAAAATATCTTACAGTCGCATCTAACACAATATGTGCAATTAAAGAAATTTAAGATGGAGCTCTTCCATGTAGATAAACTCAATAGCTTGCAAGTCATGTATTTCTGTTATAAGAGGAAAAGTGAAATATTCAATAATCATAGTATGACCAACCGCTAAATTTAAAGCCCTACATCAAAAGATAGCAATGATCTCGCAACCCTGACATCCAAAATTACTTTTGCTGAGTTTGTGCCCAATTTTCAGGCATTAGATAATGAGCCTCTGGTTTGGTTCACCTTGTCAAGCACATGGCTAACAAAAAAAACTTTCCATTTCCCATTGCTGTTTTCAGAACAGAAACATCCTACATATTCAATTTAGTTACTTTTCTGTAAATTACAGATTTACAACTAGAGAAACCAATCTACTGTCCCAAATAGTGATGCATTATATATCAAATGTCAACAAGTTTAAATGAGATATTTAATGCAAGTGTTCCAAATCTGATAAATAGGAAAACAAAACAGCTTCCACCAATGGAGGGTGGATAATCAGTGGACACAGATTTGAAGTAACTAACAAAATAAGCAGAGTGGAGATGAGGGTTTTTCTTCAGTAGCAAGTTATGTGGAATGAAATGACTGCTGAAAGTGGATTTAATAGTAAATATGTGAAAGGGAAAAATGTGCAGGGTTCCAGGGAAAGAGCGGGGGCACTGCAATTAATTAAATAGTTTTCTCAAAGAGCAGAAACAGGCACAACGTGCCAAAGAGTTTCCACTGTGCAGTGTAATTTTGACTGGTCCCCGTCCACTTGTTCCATGAACATCAAATTGCCTTCATGGTTGTGATATTAGAAGTAACACTAAAGCTGAAACAGTACAGTCAGAGGACACACTATGCAGAACAGCAGATGATATCTAGAGCACAGCTTTTCTATCTTGCCACTGAGTCCACAAGGCACAGAGTAGGAGTGAGGATGATTGTTAAAGAGAAGGCCATTTTCTTTACGATGTACTTTTGTAACACAATATTCAAAACATGCTCCAGTAGCTCTAAACTGATCAGAATCACATCACAGACAGAACACATTCAATTAAATTATCTAAATTAACTGGTTACACATTAAAAACATGCAAGACATTAGTAAAAGGTACAGCAAGGCGGTTTTGTTACTAAACCAGTAATCCACGGACCTGGATAATAATCTGGAGTTGCAGGACAAACTCCGCCATGGTAGGTTGAAAATATAAATTCGGTCATTTAGTTAGGGCTTTGTTTTAAACTAAACTATTAGTATGGCAATTACAAAATTATAAATTATTTTAAAACCCATATGATTTACTGATTGCTTTAAGAAAGGAGATTTATTTTTATCTGATCTTCTTATATGTGATTCAAGGCCCAATGTGGTAACTTTTAAATGCCCTCTGAAATGGCCCAGCAAGCCATTCAGTTTTAGGATGGACAAAAAAATGTTGTATTGCCGGACTCCCATATACCACATTTAACTAAAGAAATAAAAATGTGCAGCAACATCCACAGGAAAAGCAGAATATTTACCTTTCTTAGTTCGACCGTCACTTCATTTCTATGTCTTCTCATAGTCTGCAACAGAAGCAGCAGCAGCCATAGTAAATTACCTTGTTCAACAAACTACTCTTGTAGTAAAATGAGGCTTCCCATAGCATGCTCACAGCATGTTAAACAAGATACCTTGACGCAACGACACAAATTTTATAACCATTAAATGTATTCTGTTGTTTCTTTTGGAAATGTGAAACACTGTCCTTTAAGGGACAGAGCAACAAGAGTAGGTGATTGTGAGATAACAAGGTGTAGAGCTGGATGAACACAGCAGGCCAAGCAGCATCAGAGGAGCAGGAAAGTTGACGTTTCGGATCTGGACCCTTCTTCAGAAAAGGGTCCAGAAGAAAGGTGTTCTGGAGAAGGGTCCAGACCAGAAACGTCAGCTTTCCTGCTCCTCTAATACTGCTTGGCCTGCTGTGTTCGTCCAGCTCTACACCTTGTTATCTCAGATTCTCCAGCATCGGCAGTTTCTACTATCTCTAAGAATAGGTGATTGAGTACCTCAAGCCCATTCTATCACCTAATTAACTCATGAGTGACATATGCATTAACTCCATTCACGCTCCTTGATACCAAACCCTTAATAACATTATCTTACAGAAATTTTATCACTCTCAGTTCTGAAATTTTTCCCTCACCTCAGCCTTAAAATAATTCACAGAATGTTTCAGGTTTCTACTTTGAAGAAATGCTTCCTGAAATCACCCCAGCCTACAAATCTAGTTTTAGGATATGCCCCTTTATTTCAAATATCGCCCCTTTATTTCAAATATCTCCCCATCCGAGAGGATGGTTTCACTGTCACCCTATCAACTTTAACTAGAGTTCCTCAACTAGACCACCTGTTAATCTTCTATATTCAAGGAAACGCAGACCTCATCTATGCAATTTCTATTCACTTCACATAT